GAACGAACGAACGAACCTAACCTACCTCTACTATACGTTCTTACTACTACGTAGTACTAAGTAGTGGTACGACGTACACACCACCACCACTCTCTCTCTCTCTCTTCTCTCTCTCTCTCTCTCTCTCTCTCTCTCTCTCTCTCTATATATATATATATATATATATATCTATGAAGCAATAACAAGAATATTTCTAGTAGAACATCTTTCACAATATCTGGAGAGATGGTTCACTAATAGACCGAAGGATAAGAATTCGAGTCATTCACAGACAGATCATGAATGTTTAGATTCCATATTATGCAAGGAGACATTGCTTTTGCTCATTCTAATTGAGGGGTCATATAAAACCTGTCTATTTTCACCATCTTATACATAGTTAGTGCATTCGTCATAGTTAGCAGCTCCGCATCAAAGTCATCATGAATATCGATATCATCACTATCATCAATACTATTACTATCATCAAAGATCGACACTGACTCTATCATCAATAAGATAGCCTTTAGGCTTGTCATCCAAGAACTTGTTCAATGCTGTAATGGAAGGAACGTAGGAGGTTACAAGCAAAAAGACAAGTTCTCACGTTTATGACCATGTCTCATGAAACATGGAAATCAAGATGGCACACGTTCAAATCATAGATCTTCTTAGATGGATGCATAGACATCCAGTCGTTAGTCTATTGTATAGAAAATATAGAAGTATGAAGTGTGTCATTCATATTCTGTGAACACTGTTGAGGAGCTTTCTTCTCGATAATGATAACAAAGTAGAGAATCTCTCAAGAGCTCAATATCCAAAACATGCAACTACAGAGAAAACGCATGTGCAAACTTGCATAAAAATGTTGTGCCTTTTTCTGCTTAAAAGTGCCAAGACAGTAGAATGTACAATCGATATAGCATTATTCCTTGTCAAAGGATCAGGACCTTTCATTTGAATTCTCCTCTCTAGGGTTCCAGAACTTTGAGAAAAGCTCAAGCCATCATATTAAAAAACCTAAATTTTAAAATTAAGCATGCACACTTGTGAAGGCTCATGCGAAAGACAGGAGCTCAAAGATTTTCTACAAATCTCAGAAGCCTCTGAAACAATCACATCCAAAAATCACCCGAAGAAAACCGTTAATACTGTGAAAAAGAAGAACAAGCATGTTGAGGAACATTCGGATAGAAAGGAGGGTTCAGTAATGTTTCGGCATTGGTTCAACAGTTTAAATCCTCTGAGAAAGCTCCAACTTCTAAAAGTGCAATCAACACCATTACTGACCCAAACAAATAGAACCAAGTAACACCATTTGACTGATAAATTCATCCAAGAAATACGTGCAATACTCCACAAAAAATTATTGTTACCTTTTGAGCGACGAAACTAAATTCTCAATTCAACGAGTTTCACGACAGTGACATGGCGCGTGGAAGAAATATGAAATCCCCTGTCACCTCTGCATCACTGCACAAACGAATCACCACTAGTCCACTACACAAGTGAATCGGTGAATGGAAAAAGCATATTTAGAAACTCTTTAATCATAAATCTCTCTCTCTCTCTCTCTCTCTCTGGCTGAAAGACTGATTTGACAGACTTGGATCGCGACAACGAAACAAATACTGAAAATTTAATGGACATGAAAAGGTCGTCCCACGGGCAGCAAATAAGTGGTCAAGGGGAATTTTTTAGTTTGTTGAAAATAAACATTTTGCTCTTGTGAGAAGTCCATCAAATGAACGACGGTTTCGAGCTAATCTTTGATAAATTTACGTCCCAAAAAGTTTTGAGTTCATGGATGCCGAAATTTTTTTTTTTATTTTTTTATTTATAAATTACCCTACTTCATATCTTGAGAATTGAGGGCTAACAACTTATTATTCTAGACCTTCAAGGCCGAAGTTGATGTTTGAGTCTTTTTATTAGTTTTGGACGTAAAATCAAAATTTTCATTTTGGCAGGATTAGGGGGGGATTTCTTAAATAACGTTAATTTAGAGGGAAAGTAGCATAAATTTTTCCTTTTTGTAAATTAATTTCATATAAATAATCAATAAACATGATTTGTAGTTTTTTTAATCATATGTAGATTTTAAACTGCAATGAATAAATATTCACTCTTTACTAACGAATAAATATATTAAATTTCTAGCCTAATTTAAAGTATACTTGATTTAATCAAATGAAATAGATGATTTATATTAAAAATAAAATTTACCCATATTTTTAGGCCAATCCTCAATCCTAGCGTTCAGTGAATCAACGCCTCCTATCCTTGGCAAAGTTTCCGCAAATAACCCCAATCACCCTTATTTTTATGTGTCAACTACCCTTTATTTATGTGTCGATTTGGGACTTAGGATATCATAGTAAATTCGAATTTCAAATATCCCAAATCCTATTATTTTTATTTTTATTTTGTGAAGATCAAGTTTATTGTTGAGTCAAGAAGACAAGCTTAAGGATCAAATTTCATCACTTGCAAAGATACAACCCACCTCCTTTACTGGGCGTGGGACGAGTTAAAGAAAAGTTTGAAAACTTGCCCAGAAATCATAATTTTTCAATGTCAGTAAAAAAAAAACATGGAAATAAATCGTAAGGTCTCATAATTTTTCAATGTCAGTAAAAAAAAAACATGGAAATAAATCGTAAGGTCTCAATATCAGTTAAAAAAACATGGCCGAATTTTTTGATCTTCAAAAACTATGCGGTCTTATTTATTTATTTTTCTCAAATCTAATGGATCTATAATAGATATAGATAGATTAGGCAGATTCTAATGTATGCTCAAATTGGACCAAAACGCACACCCGAAACCCCAAAATCAAAGTACATGAAGAAAACCAGCAGATTTCTACCCCTTTTAAATTGATAACTTTACCATACTCTGGGTGAGTACTACCCCTTCTAAATTTTTAACTTTACCATACTCTGGGTGAGTGCTATAGCAAATTACCTGAGCATTGTCAAACTCCAGGCAGTCACCCCTATTTCATCAGAGTGTGCCCCAACAACTCTCTATAATTCTCACCTAAGTACCATTCGTATGCACTACATATACAGTGTTTTGCTCTCAACTGGCTTGCTGAGTTGGAATTACTCACCTGCGCCCAAATAGACTCGGGTGAGTTTTTGAACACTGCTTTCATCAAAGCACCCTCTTTTGGGGTTTGGATAAATTTGTCCCCATCCTGCTCACAACAACCCACAAATGGGTCAATCGGTTTGTCGTGGCATCTAGACAAGCCCTTATTAAGTCACCATGAGAACATTTTCGAATTATACAGAATTCAGTTCAAGTAGTAGACCTCCATCTGAGATGGCACTACATTTAATTTTGGCAACACCATTTCTTTTTGGCCGAAGTGCTAATGAATTTGACGCCATTCCAAGATATCTGATCACATAAGCGGTTAGTGGCACAAATCTCAAAAAATCCACATGCATTTTACGGCATTTACCATTCACCAGCATCCATAGCCAAGCTACAGTCAAAATCCATAAATCCATCTTTCAAGAGACTCCCCCTTCCATCTTCCAGGGCCTCCTTGCCAACTTATATAATCATATAGAGGAGTTTCAAATGTTAAAGAATTAAGACAAGAGACGAGAGGAAAAAAGAGAGAATGTCTGTACTGCTTGCACAATAAGCCTCTTGGCTTTAAGCCACCATTAACATCCTCTAAGGTTGGTTACCAGGAGGAAAAAAAAATCATATAGAAACTAGAGACAAAACAAAGAAGCTAAGTGATTCCTAACTAACAACCTCTATTAAGCAAGAACAACCGATCACAAATAAACAAAACAAAAAAGCAAGCAGAAGAGCTCTCTCTTTCTCGCAAGTCAAAACCCACTTTTACATGCAGCAGAGCTTCTCAACAGCAGCAACAATCTGTGGGGGCTGGACAACAGTCCAGTCCTCAAGCGTCCCTGCATACGGGGTCGGGACGTCCTGAGAGGAGAGGCATTCGATGGGGGTATCAAGGTAGTCCCAGAAGTTCTCCATGATGGCAGCCCTTAGGCTCGCCCCAATCCCCCCAGTTCGCATGCACTCCTCTACGATCAGCACTCGATGGGTCTTCTTCACAGAGTTGCCGATGGTGTAAAGGTCGAAAGGCTTCAACGACCTGATGTCGATCACCTCAGGATCATAGCCCTTGTTGACCAGGGTCTTGGCTGCCTGCATCACATGGTAGCGCATGCGAGAGTAGGTCAGGATGGTAATGTGCTCCCCTGGCCTCACCATCTCTGCCTCCTCCAAGCAGCATATGTACTCCTCGTCCGGGATCCTCTCCTTAAGGTTGTAGAGGAGCACGTGCTCGAAGAGGATGACAGGGTTCTCACTCCTGATGGCTGCCTTCATGAGACCCTTGGCATTGTAAGATGTGGAGCATGCAACCATCTGGAGCCCCGGGACAGACTGGAAGTAGGACTCAAGGCGCTGGGAGTGCTCGGCCCCAAGCTGTCGGCCAACACCACCGGGTCCCCGGATGACGATAGGGATGGTGAACTGGCCGCCGGAGGTGTAGTGGAGCATCCCGCAGTTGTTGGATATTTGATTGAAGGCAAGCAGGAGAAAGCCCATATTCATGCCCTCAACAATGGGGCGAAGACCTGTCATGGCAGCTCCAATGCCCATGCCTGTGAAGGAGTTCTCGGCAATGGGGGTGTCAAGCACACGGAGATCGCCAAACTTGTTGGCAAGGCCCTTGGTGACCTTGTAGGAGCCCCCGTAGTGGCCCACATCCTCCCCCATCACACACACCAGAGGATCCCTGTCCATCTCTTCCTCCAGCCCTTCTCTTAGGGCCTCAAATAAGAGGAGCTCATGCCTGCAGATGAATGCAACTATGTCATTACAACGAATTTGAAAACAACGAACTATCGACAAAAAAACAAAGACGGTCATGATCAAGAGTTACTTTAGTGCTTCATATGATGAAACATGGCCCGATGCCCTAAGTTAAGCATGTGTCTGTTCATGCAAGCGTGTTTTTCCCATAAAAAATTAGGCTGTGTGCTATACATCCAATCACAAAAAGCTAATTTGGGTCATATAGATGAAATAAACATAACCCATTGATTTAACTAACTCGTACCCAACTTAATATAAGCATGCAACAGTGGAGCTATAAAAAGGGCAACGGTGCCATTAATGGTGGTAATGATAGAATGAATGTGTTAATCAAGCAGTTTTCACTAAATAGTGGTTGGCTGATCATGCACTTCAACCAACCATTAGTCATCATAAAGATTTAGAACACGTTCATTAAGGCAACCTTGGAGGGGGAGTGTTGAAGATCAAGATTATTTTGGTTGTCTTTACTGTGGGTTGTGTGGCATTCTTGTCCGTTTAATATACTTAAAGGCCAAAGCTATTCATAACGGCATTTCTGTAATTTGTAGATACTTATTATAAATAAAGATAAGAGAGGTGCATGGAAGGTCATCTAACCCTACGTGAGATTCCTTCCAGCTATTCTCTCTCCCACACCTCTCCAACTCGCTCTCTCTCTCTTACTTTTCTCTCTTCTCTCTCTCATCTTCCTCTCATCACTATGTTCTTTCTTTGTGGAACTATGCTTCTAACAAGACATCATCATATACTTCTAACAAGGTATCATCAGATCCTTAGATGTGAACTATTCACCTCTCTTTGTTCTTTATTTAAAACGACAAAAAAAAAAGAAGAAGAAGTGGAAACCCTAATTCTGGATGTGCTGATCTCACTGATGGGCACCTAGTTTCTTCTATTGTGTGCGCGAAACCAATATGGTTGTCTATGTTTGCTGTGAATACTCATGTTGCTGATATTTCCTCCCTTATATATAAAAAGTCCAGAGGACTAGTGACTGAAACAGTGTTTCAAGAAATACTAGGTGGCAGCCGCTAGTGGGTACCCAAAACCTCAAGCGCCCGTGATGAAGAATTTCATATATGTCCCGTTAATTTTGTAATTTTTTGCATTTACATATATTCTAACTAACTTTGTCCATGCAACTATCTATACATGAATATTGAAACATCTTCAAAACTTCAAATCATAGTCTATACTGCCACATGAACACGATCACAACTAGACAAGATGAAATACAAAAGAGAACTATAAAACCAATAACCCAAATGTCCAATAAAAGAGAATGGAATACTCAAGAGACAAGACAAGATGAAATACAAAAGAAGAGAGGAGATCATTCTTTCGATTCACAAAGATCTCAAAATCAATAGATTTGGGGGCTTACATTCGAATTCTTTTTCACTTTGGGAGTTTAGAATACCCCCAATAGCCTTTTGATGAAAAGATCGTGAGTCGGAAATGACACAAAGTGCCTTAGGTGCCGTACGGACTGTTGTTTAAAACAATGGGCTCAAATATGTCCAAGTGTGTGACTGATGTTATATATAGCCTCTAGAGGTTTGTGTAAGAGTTCTAGTGGAGAGACATATATTCGTCTATATATAAATGATAAGTATATCTCCTTTGAACCCCATTGTTTCTGCTATCCTGCTTTGTAATCTGCTGTTTGTGTGGTTTTTTGGGTTTATAAGACTCAATTGGTTTATTTAGGGCTTCCAAGAATATTCAGCCTGCTATAATATTGTATATTCTCTTCTTTTTTTGTGAGCATCTTATGATTGGTGAAAGTAAGCCTGGAATTTCTAGCATCAATGATATGATTGGAGTTCAAGCTACTTCTGTGAAATTAAATGGGTCTAATTACCTCCTATGGGCTCAATTTATTAAGGTGTTTCTTGGTGCCAAGGGTAAGATGAAGTTCTTGACTGAAGATGGGCCAAAAGTGTCAGATGGTGGGAATAATGCTTAGGTAAAACTATCAGATCATGACATGGTTGTGGAATAGTACGGAACCCCATGCGAGTGATAATTTGATGTTTATTGATATTTCTAAAGAAGTTTAAGAGGTTATGCATGAGATCTACTCTTATGATAAGAATATCTCCCAAGTTTATCAACTTTATGATAATATTTTTTTTTTTACAGCAAGGTAAAAAGAATATTAGTGGGCATTACCATACACTTCAGGGCACGCGGGAAGAGTTGAACGCATATCAACCCCTATTAAATACCCCTATCAAATAATATGGAGCTATTGAAGAAGAAAAGAGAAGAACTTAGAGTTGCAAAATTCTTATCTGACCTCAATTCTGAGTACTTCAGTTCATTCGTGGACAGATGTTAGCTAGCAACGATTTCCCCTCTCTCAATAATGTATACTCTCATCTTCAATAGACTGTCATATCTACACCGTCCTCTGGAATTGGTGACTGATCTGCCTTAACCTCCTTCATGGGTAGAGGAGATGGTAGAGGTCGTAGTGGTAGCAATAGAGGACGGGGTCGTGATTCAAGGGGAGACGAACCAATCACATGGCTGATATATATTAGGATAAGTTTGGTAAGCTTGCTTGGGCTAAACAGGTAACTCACATTTCTAAGGGTGATGATATCGATCCAGTTGGCTCCAATAATCATCACCACGCTTTCAATTCTGCTACAGGCTTAGTTTTGCTCTCACTTGAGGAATACAATAACCTTATGAAAAATAGCCAACAGCCAACTACTTCTACACCCACGGCAAATACAGGTACTTCTGCATTCCTTGTGTCTCAGAGGCCATCTCCTTGGGTCATCGACTTAGGAGCCTCTGATCATATGATTGGTGAATCTTCTATGTTTTCTTCTCTTGATTAATTTGTTTCCACTTCATTTGGTACATTAGCTGATGGTTTCTTGATCAATTGTGTCATGGAAAGGCATCATTCATCCTACTGCTTCTCTTTCAATATCATTTGTTCTCTATGTACCAAAGTTCCTATTTACCTTATTGTCAGTTAGTAAATTAAAATCAATTTCATGTTCAATGACATTCCATCCTTCCTATTGTGCTTTTCAGGATCTAAAGACGCAGGATGACTTGTGGCAGCTGCGAATATTGCGGACTTTACTATCTGGATTGTGATCTTATTGGTGTTGCTCTTCACTCCAGTGTTTCGCCTCTTCAATGCCGTTGTCGGTGGGGTCATCCATCTATTAATAATTTGGAGTTGTTGGTTTCCATACTTCCATCGTTGGAGTCTGTGTCAATGTTAGAGTGTGAGCCTTGTGAGATAGATAAGCATCATAGGATATCTTTTCATCTGAGAGTCGATAAACATTCCTTTTTGTCATAATTTATTAGTTCTCCCCAATTGTTTCAACATAACCACATGTTTCTAATGTGTGGAACTGGGAGTGACTCCCAGTCTTACAATCAGGTTCACTTCAAACCATTCCAATTTTCAATTGCCCTTGTAGCACTTGCCAAGCTCCTCACTAACTGCCTTCTTTTTTTCCAGGTGCGATGAGGAACATTGAACATTTCTATCCAAATAATTACACCCGTCATTACTTTTCCATATCTATTATCAATTCAACGTTTTGCATAGATGATAGACCTGATCTCATCATGCTGATAACACCATTCCACTCATCATTTAAAAGCTTAATGACCAAACAATTTTCTTCAATAGTCAGTAAGGACAATTTCTTTCTCTAAAAGAAAGACATCTGATCAATGTCATGTGTTCCAGAACCTAATGCAATAGGAAATGCTGGTTCTTAATAGGAGAAGGTAAGAGAGGAAATATCAATAATGGCTTCAATGCCAGGAAAGGCTAAATCAAAAGACGTAAGAATCATACATAATAATGTCTTTCTCTAAAAGAAAGGCATCTGATCAATGTCATGTGTTCCAGAACCTAATGCAATAGGAAATGCTGGTTCTTAATAGGAGAAGGTAAGAGAGGAAAGATCAATAATGACTTCAAAGCCAGGAAAGGCTAAATCAAAAGGTATAAGAATCATACATAGTAAGCCATCTTGCAGCTTATATTTTTTGTATGTAAAACAAAACAAATTAGAAGTTCTGAACTGCCGAGTGGTTTCTTAATCATTGTGCATGGTAATGGTTTAGACATCATTGTTCTGCTTTCTAACAGCCTAATGTTCCCTTTTGCTTTTTACCTTTTTCCTTTTTAGTGCCAATCCCGCAACTTACCACACCAGCCATCAATAGAGAACAAAAAAACTACATAATATCCCGTTATGCATACATATTGAAGTAAAAGAAGGATACTAACACTAATTCCTCTTTCCATTGCATTCGATAAATCTTGAAAACAGATTGCCTAGGAAAGTAACGAGCATACCATGGTTTATTATCCACAAATCCTCCACAATAAAAAAAAAAAAGTGTTTGTGTTAAATTTTTCATCAACAAGTCAAGCCACTACTATCTATCTTTGATCTATCTATCCTCAATCACCAATGAAACAGCTAAAACATGTTGGGGAAAATGGATTACAATAATGCATACATGAAGAGAATAGGGATACTGTTAGACATCCATCATATGAAAAGTGCACTCTAGGACACAGGCACATCGAATTTGATCATAAGTAGAATGCGCTTTTGATCATTAAGGAGCCACCAGTTGCCAAAAGATACTGAGGCCATAAGAAACACAAAGCACACAGGCACATCGAATTTGATCATAAGTAGCAGTTCCTAACATTTGCCAAAGGATGACAGCACCAGCTGGAATTTACATATGTTTTGCATTTTGAGGGTGTGAATCTTTGTTCAGTAACTAAAATTGGTCACCCACAAAAGGAAATGGACCCAGCTCCCAAATTGCGATGTCTACTGCTACCATAAACATGAAGGCTAGGCACACTCAAGACGATAATCGATAATCAAGAAAGCTTTTAAATAAAAATTGCATCAACACAATGGAAATGCTAAACTAAAAATGAAAAACACAATCATAACAGCTGGAAAAGGAAAAAAGTCATTACCCAGGCTTCGCAGTTGCAGAGCTTGCAGAAGCCTCTGCTGTACTCTGAAAATCCACAAATAATAGCAGTCAAAAAGCAATTCTGCATTCCTCGCATCAAAAGAACAATCCACATCAGAAATAAATAATACGGACAGTATAGATCCTAGAAGTGCTTCCGTGTGAGCATCAGAGCATATTCCTAACGTTAGTTGTTCTTCCAACAAAAAAAAAAGAATTTCTTCTGTTTTTGCAAATTAAAGTGTTTGAAACCAGGCAGAAAAGCGGTCATACCCCAGAAGAACCATGCGCTCACAAAAGATAGGACATGAAAATGACAGTCTAAACATGCAAAACACAGAGGCCAATTTGAGTTTAAAGGGTTTTACAATACAATAAAACAATCATTCATTGATGATCAAGACACAAAATAAAACACAAGCTCCCACCTAACGGAACTTCCTAATCCCATTCAATATCCATCATAGCAATCCATGAATTAGCATGGCTAGTTTTTTGGCTTGGCGAGGTTGCCACCGTTGAGTCCCAACTCCTAAGTTGCATGCATTCATGCATGTCAATGGATCTGGAGAGCAACGAGAAATGCCGAAAAGACAACAAAAATCTACAATTGAGACAGTTATTGATCTAAAAATGAACTCCAGCAAAAATCTTTCCAAAGATCCTGTGGACACTTGTAGCCTCAAATTTTGTGTTTCTTAATTCAAGAATTCGAGAGCTGCAGGCGTTCTAACTAATAAATCAGGAATAATGCATATATGCAGATAAAATCTCCCTCCAGAAACGAAATTGTTTATTTGGAGTTTAATTCCAGAGATTAAAAAGGATTAAGCACTTACTGCAACAGCAGTGGGAATCAAGTGAAGTCCACGATGCCCTGCTCCCTGATTTGAAAAAGAGACACCTCCATCAGATCTCAAGCCTACCACCGTAATCCTCCTCTGTGATTCTGGAAAGGCAAATTCAAATGCAAATTGAAATTCAAATCCATCAATAATAACACTCAGAGCATAACAAAGAGAGCGAGAGGCGATCCTTACGAGCTACATGGTGACGACGCCCAGCGACAACAGCAGGGAACTGAATACTCCGAGATGATGGAGAAGAGAAGAAGGTTTCGGGGAGTGTGGTCATTGTAGTTGCCAGGCCCTGAACCGTCGCCATTTATTTGAAAAAAAACTATGGAAGGTGGAAAGAAAGGGGGAATGCAAAGATGAAGAGAGGAAGGGGTTGAGGTCATATGAGGAGAGGGCAGCAACAATAATAAAGCGGTGGTTGAGGAGGGCGGAGATATTGAGGAAGGTGCTCTCTTTCTTCTCCACACAAACTCTACGCTCTCCCTCTACTTTGCAGGCGCCTATTTAACTCAGGCACCGCCCCTCCCCTCCCCTCTCACTCAAACTTTGTTATCAACGCTCTCATTTTCTCTCTCTCATCGACCACTCGTGTCCTCTCCTCTTACACGAAAGATACAAGGAGCCACCCGTCATCACCTTTTTTATATTCGAAAGAATCGGAAAGGCTATACTTGTACTTGAGGGAAAATGGTTTGATACTCGTCGAAACATTGCAATTCAAGCATTAAAAACTCTTTTTTTTTTTGTGTGGTCGTAAAAAAATATACACAATTTTAAAGTTTAAAAATAATATATACTGTACCAGATTATCTAGATTGTCCATTTCGTTTTTGACGTTTTAAATTGATTTTAGATGTATCATGTATATTTCTATTGTCAAAAGTGATTTTCAGATGAGGCCTAGGCCTTATGGAAACCTCATCCTTATTTGAGGGACAGTTTCCATGAGTGGTAATAAGTTTCCTATTCAAATTTTTTTTTTTTCGATTATTTTCTGAACCAGATTTTAAATAATATACACTCTCTAATCATAAATATATACAAATAAATAAATATAAAAAATTAAATAAATAATTTTATGAATAAAATATTTAGAGGATGCAAAATATAGAAATGCGTCGCCTAATGCGCAAAGCCTCTTCTTCAATTGATTAGGATTATACCTGAATACAAAGTGGTTGATTAATCACAAACCAAGAAAAACTTCGATATATGTAATATGTATGGAAGGAAAACATTAGTCCACCCATAGGTTATTTATGGAATATCCTACTTAAAATAAAAAAAAGTTGTTAGAAATATTTCTATTGGTCTTCTACTTGGGGCCCGGCTCCCTCCTCCCCTCATTTATTCTTGATGTAGGTGAAAAACCGACAACGAAATGCTCCTCCTACAATTAATTTGTTCGGAGAATTTCAATATAAAACTACTGCGTAATCTCAACAAAGTAGAAGCTCACGAGGAGGACGAGGCAATACTCATTCTGCCAAATTTGCGGATTAGGGGTGCAGTGAACCCGACCAGACTCACTATGAGAAAATCTGACCGTGGGTTGGATATGGATCCAAATTTTTTATCCGAAATAATATGGACCTCGACCTGAATAATAGGGATATATGTGGGTATTTATAAATATTATCAATATGTTTGTTTCTCAAGAATTTTCAGTTATTATGAAAAACAATAATGTCGTGCAATATTGTAAATGTTGTCAATAAGCATATGATGCAAAAAAAAGTAATTAAAAAATAAAATAAAACTTAAAGTCATAAGGTGGTAATAGACCCGACCAGACCTAAGACTTGACATGTAGACCCAACCTTGAGTCCGAGTAGGGGTCCAAATTTTGGACCCAAAAAGTTAGGTCTGGGTCCAAACCTAAACCATAATACTATACGGGTTTGGATTGGGGTATGGCAGAACCCGACCCAACCCGTTGCCACCCCTATGGCCGACACCTTCGAATGTGTGTGTGACCTATCCCTAAAATCCCATCTTCAATCAAACCTACAAGTAAATAGAAAAAGTTTATATAAGGTGTCAACCTTATACTATACAAGTAAGGTGTACCTAAAAAACTTACTAGAGACGGTTGTTCTTAAATTGGAAAACCCTCAAATTGATCATCTCGATCTCGAGATTTATAGAAAATAATAAAATAGGATTTCTAATCCTAAAAATAATTCATCTTCTAACATATTATCTAGACCATCCATTTTTAAGTGTTTATAGATCTGTTTGATCGCCACCATTTATGAAACTTTAAATTTCATAATTGAGGGCAACAACATAATTTTATATAGGCTTTTCGGTACCGGAAGTACATTTTCAGCAAAGTTTTGAAGTGTTACATTTCTTCTATAGTACAAAGTTGACACGTTGAACAAACCTCACCTTGACTAATTAGCCTACTGCCCACCAAATAATATTTGAAATTCAAGCAACCCCTTTTTTTCAAAATATTTTATTACAAAAAGATAATTACAAGGGGATCGTAAATAGGTAAAATTGAAGCGCCCTTTCAACCTTGATGAAAAAACTCTCTTAAACCTTTATATCAATTATCTAGGATTGAACATTTTGGTTTTGGAAAAATAAAAAAGAAAAAATTTCAAATTATAAAAATAGTTTACATTATAATAAATTATTTAAACCGTACCTTTCCGTCCTAAAGATAAGTGCCACAAGATCTGTAATCTTTGTAGTTTTGGATTTTATTATTAGTGTTAGAGATTTATCTTGGAGCCATCATCGAGATTTAAGTTGCTTAAAGTGTTTTCCGGACTGGATTTAAGGTGAGGCTTTATTTTGTTTTGCACTTTTCAGGCCTTATAAAAACTTCATCCATTAAAATTAAATAAAAGATGAAGATCGAGTACAGCACAATAAATGAAGAGAGGGGAAGAAATAGAGGAAGAAAGCATCATCTGCATTATCCAACTGCCGAAGAACCCAACTCAGTCACACGAAGCAGCAACACAGACATCATTCTTACCTAACCCAAGCTTCTCACAAAGACAACGCAATATAGGGCCTTCCCTTCTGCAATCAAGCAACTCAGAAACCCCGGCCAGATGAAATAAAATAGAAGTTTGGTAGCGCACAATCAACTCAGAAATGGAGGTTGTATTCCTCTTCTTCTCGTTTGTGTCCACCCTCTTCACCTCCTCTTTCCTCTCCATCCGCCTTGCCTTCCTCTCTCTACTCTCCTTTCCCATTTTCCCAACGACTAATAACAACAAAAACCCATCTGAGGGCCACAGTGTTGGTGAGTCCCATCTCATTCTCTACCAAGGGAGGGTTTGGCATCAGAGGAGTCATCCCCTTCTCCACCAATTCTCCTACAATGTCAGATATGCTCTCATCAACCTCGACCATGTTGTTGATGTCAGTGTCGATGCCCTCCTCCGCAAGGGCAACCACATGTCATCTGCTCAGGTTCGCGAGATCGCCGCCACCTCCGGACCTGTGTAGGCGTTCCCAACTTGCTAAACTCTTCTTTCTTTCTCAATTTTAGTTCAGTTGATGGATTTTAATGTTTATCATGGTTTTCATTTACTTGGTCATGGAGCTTCCAACTAGTTATTTATACTATTGGAAAGGGTTTAGGGCTTTTGTGATTGTGGGAGTTATGCGTTGTGATTTACTAGAGTGCCGTGTGAGTGTGGAGATCAATAAGCGCAATAGGCTGAGATTTGATATTTTCGTCTCTGAATCAACCTGTCACTTAGCAAGTATTTTGGATGTGTTATTATTCATTTAAAACTCCTCTTCACATGAGCTTATCTCCTTAGCAATAATCTTTTATTATCGTACCATGTATGTTACAGGTCTGTGCAATTTTGTATTGCGCATTTGATGCTCATGCTCTGGTCATGGGTCCCATCAGCATGTGGACTAGATACATGTTCCAAAACTCCCAAAGTATCAATCTTTCAGAAGTTGCTCTGATGCCATATTAATTTGGACAGATTTTGTTTCTTATCAGTTAAAAAATCAAGAATTAAATAAAATTATGAGATACTGAATCCCCTAAATAGAGGGGCGTACATATCAAATTACCAATTTCTTCTCGTGTACAAGTTCCACCATTAAATAATGATGAAATGCTAAAACCTACCGACATCTACAAATGTATGAATTGATTTGTTTCATGTTTTATTGGTGATAAAATTGAACAATAGTGGTGGGATAATAAACCAAAAAGCGAATAAAAACAACACACTAAAACATCACCTTGAACTTGCACACCGCGCACAAAAATGTGACAAGTTTGGCTTGCATCTTAAGCGTATGCATAGTTATAGAAACAATGAAAATACGTATTTGTATCATTTATATTTTTTCTTCTTAATCTGGATGCTTGTCTTTTAATCATATCAGATGGGTTGTCTATACAGGTTTCTTTTGACAATACCTGCTAGTGTGGGATATGAACAGAATCCACTGAGTGTTTATTACTGCTATGACCAGGAAGGATCTGATGCTCATCTTAAGAAGTGTATAGCCCAGGTTGGTAACAAAGAAAACACCCATTTAGTTACATCCATCCTTCAAACTCTTACAAGACTTACACTGAAAATTTGCTGAAATTTCTTTAACTGCTTGAGCTTCATCTTGATAATTGCAAGCTTCATGCTAGAGTTTGGGGTGATGATAACATTTGTAATTCTAGCCACATCACATCCAAAATAGTGATTGGTTTGTGGCTATTGCAACTAATTTCTAGTTTGTATGCCCACTTTGTTGTCTGTTAGTTTCTACTAGGGATTAGGAGATATAGGTTATCCAAGGGCCATCTTGTGAACATCGGGCTGCATAATGTAACTTTGTGCTTTGTGAATTCTCTATGCATATCTTCGCATCATGATCATCATCATCAAAGCCTTATCTCAACTAATTAGGGTTGGCTATACGAAGCCTGTTTTGCCATTTTGCTCTATTAAGGGCCATACCTTTAGTAAAATCATAAGTCGTCATATCTTTTTCTCACTACTTCCATCCATGTCCTTTTGGGTTGTCCTCTTGCTCTTTTAGAGCTTTCCACTTGAACGAAATCGCACCTCCTAACTGGTACTCTGTTGGGTTTGCGCTACACATGGCCAGTCCACCCAAGTCTACTTTCCCTCGTCTTCACCTACTTCCCTCGAATGTCTTCATTTCAAATTCTATCCTTTCTTGTCTTACCACTCATCCATATCAACATTCTCATGTCAACAAACTCATTTGTTGGGCATGTTGTCTCATGACCGCCTAACATTCTGTCCCATAAAGCAAAGCTGGTCTCACAGCAGTCCTATAGAACTTCCCCTTTAGTGTCATCGGTATGCGATGATCACATAAAACTCCAGTTGCCCACCTAGCTCTGATACTTTGTTGTACATCTTCCTTAATCTCTCAATTTTTCTGGATTATTGACCCAAGGTATCGAAAGGGCTCTCTTTGAGGTATTTCTTGGCCAACATTCTTAACTACTTCCGCATTTCTACTTGTACTATTACTAAACTTGCATTCCATTTATTATGTCTTAGTCCGACTGATTTTAAAACCTTTGGATTTTAGAGCATCCCTCCAAAGTTATAACTTTGTGTTGACTTCGCTTCTAGCCTTATTGATCAAACTATGTCATCTGCGAACAACATACACCACGGTACCCCATCTTGTAGGTGTCTAGTTAACTCGTCCATAACTAAAACAAAGAGGTATGGCTCAACGCTAACCCTTGTTGTAGGTCTATTGTTACTGAAAATTTACTTGTCTCTCAGCTATTCGCACACTAGTTGGTGCTTCTTCTTACATATCTCTCACCATGTCAATATAGCATTTGGAGACTCCTTTCTTTCCCAATACCTACCAATTTTTTTTTTTGAATGAGTTAACTTTTTCTAATACCCACCAAATTAAATCCTTAGGTAACCTATAGTAAGCTTTTTCTAAATCAATAAAGACCATATGGAGGTCTTTCTCCTTCTCCGTGAGCTTCTCAGTCAGTTGTCTAAGTAGGAGAATGGCCTCAACTGTTAACCTCCCTGGCATAAAAGCAAACTGATTTTCAGATACGCTATGGAGGTCTTTTCATTATTCCTTATTTATTTTCTCTAAATCAATAAAGATCATATGGAGGCCTTTTCATGCCTTAATCTTTGCGAAATCACTCTCTCCCACAATTTCATAGTATGGCTCATAAGTTTGATCCCTCGATAGTTTGCACAATCCTATATATTTCATTTATTATTGTATATAGGTACCACAATACTTTTAACTCATGGAAACCATCACAGTTCTAAGAGGACTGTGATGGTCTTATAACTTATTGCAACAATTTAGGAGTTTCCGTAAGTTAAAAACTGTGATAGTGGTTCCCAAGAGTTATACACCATCACGGTTGATTCCAATACGTCATAAGGTCATCACAGTCCTCTTAGGAACGTGATGGTTGGTTGGCAAACCAACCTGCTACCACCTTGACTACCCTGGAGTTTAGGAACTGACTATGCTTCTACACCTTCTACAAACTAGATTTCTCTTATAGGAAGGGATGGAAAAGGTAGTCTAGACAAAATCAAGTGCTGGCAATTCTCAATATCCTCTTATCATTCAATTGACCTACCTGCTACCACCATAGCTATTCTATATAAAGTCTGGCTCTCTTTTGTTCCGCCAGACGTTCAAGCATTTAATTGGATAGCATTATTGGAGAGATTATTCACTATGGACCAAACTGATGATTTTCTTGTGCAAAAATGAGGAAGAGACGAGAAAGCATCTTCTTACACTGTTTGATCGCAGCTCCAACATTGGCTTCTTTGTTATGCACTTTCAAGTGGCCGCGGGCAACACCAAATGTAGTTAGACAATTGTTGATAGCATACTACTCCATGCCACCACCACCCAGTCAGAGAAACTTTGACTGTAGACCATAGTTGTTGGGATCAGAGTGTGATCTAGAGTGGAGGATCTTGAAAGGCTTGGAGATCCTTAACTTTAGGAGTGCCGATTGTACAATGCAAGTGTTAGGGATCAAGATCCCCAAATGTGAGGAATCTCGATACTGACCTTTTAGGATGTTGATCCCAACCTTTTGGGGATCTTGTCCCAACTACATATACAATCTAGGACTTGTAAATAGGACTGTACATACTTTTTAAATCAAGGATACTTGTAGTTATAGTCAGCAAGCAATGCAACTATATTAGAAGTGTTGCATTGCTAGCTGGTTATAAATAAAGAAAATCATCAGTTTGGTCAGTGTCTTGGGCATTAAGGTGGGGTCTGAGATCCCTAATAGTGGGGGTCGAAATCCCATGAAGATCCCTTTCTTGGAGCACGAAAGCAAGATTCCAGAGTGGGTTCACCACTTAGGTTGGGAGATCTCAGCACTATGCTGTGGACTAGCTACAAAGGAGGGGGTTCCTCCTCCACAAGCGGTGCATCATGCGCAAAAATGAGGGAGAGACAAGCGAACACATCTTCTTATATTGCTCAGTCGCAGCTTGAACATGGGCGTCCTTGTTATGTGCTTGCGATTGGTCTCGGGCAACACCAAGTTCAGTCAGGCAATTGTGGAGGGTCTATTACGTTGGAGGGCCTCCATTATGGCCACCATTTGGACCATATGGCTAGAGCGTAACTAATGGACCTTCTAAGCGAAAGAGGAGACATCGCTAGCAATCCAAGAGCGAATTAAATCTCGCACCATATTCTGGGCCAAAAGACACAAAGAGTTCAGTGTGCTTGCAGTGGCAGACTTTGCGACGTATTGGGAAACTATTCTACTCTCCAGGCTGTTGACAATTCCCAGATCATCTCTTTGGCGATCTCTGGAATCTGGCTCCATTAAGCTCAACATGGATTATTGCTCACTCCAAAACCTGGGGCCTAGGGCGCTGTGGGGGACTGGGATTCAAACAGCCACACCATAACTTGGGTAACTTGGCATTTCTTACTCGACAATGGCTGAGGAAATGGCCCTGCTCGAATGTCTCAAGAAATTCAACCAAATGTAAGATACACCCCTAATATTCAAAGGAGACTCTAGGAACTCGATCCTTTGGGTGTCCAAACATGCTCCCTGCCCATGGAGACTGGAACCCATTTTTTATCATATTCTTCATATTTTCAGGCCTCATTGAGTTGTGTTATGGGACGTTCGGTTGGAGGCCGACTCTGTCGTGGATGGTATTGCAAAAGCGGCACCACTAGTAGGATGCATTCTCAGCCTCCATAACAGTTGATGTCAGCTTCCATAAGGGGGGTTCTCCCCTATTTTTTGTATTCAGGATTACTACTCACCCTCTCTCTTACTATGCATTACACAAAGCCCGATGCCGATATTCCCCATTTTGTACAGTTCTTATGTATCATTGAGCATCCGAACTATGGGATCCCTTTTTAGCATTCGTACACCTTCAATGGTGTTTTTTAACTAGAATACCACATACAAGTTAGGTATTCTCAAGAAAAAGGAAAGAAAAGAAAGAAAAGAAAACAAAGAAGAAGAAATTCACCTACTGCAGTAAGTATTTCTGGATCCACTAACTCTTTTGATGACATAACATTCACTATAATTGGGAATATATACTTGAATCCAAACTATTACCTTCATAATGCATATCAACTTGGAAGAACTAGATTCTTTCTCCTTAGTATGACTGGGTAGTCTCATTGCTTATGTAGAATGAGAGGCATCATGATCCTTTCTGGAAACTGAAAAACTTCGGCCTTCAATGTTCTTCTTTGATTTGGGATCTGCTGAAATTTTGTACGAACATATGATTGGCTGTGATGATCCTCATGTGGATATGACACCTAGTAAATGATTTAATTTGGATCCTTCATGTTTTTCATAAAGCTTTTACAAGTGTGCAACATGATAACTTGGGGAGGTTCATTTTAAATGCAATTCTGGCTTCGTTATCCTTTCAGTTCCCATTCTCGGCTTTGAGAAGATAAAAGAAATTCTAGAAAACTGCTTATTTCTTTTGGTTCACACCTTCTTCTCGTTGAATGATAAATGGCTAAAGCCACTAATTTTAAATGCGATAATGGGGGGATATACCTCCAATTTTAAATGGAAAGATTACTAAATGGATTATTACAAGACGTTTCTATCATGTAGCCACTGATGGTTAGTGATATTCCATGACAGATACATTCAATTCTTTCCAGATATCCACTGTAGTTTTCCTGTATGTCTTTTTCTGAAAATGTTAACTGATATATTAAGTAGTGTACAAGAAATTCGGCAACAAGTTGAGTACTCAAATCCAGAAACCTTTAAAGGGGCCCAAAAATTCTACACAACCCCTATGGACAGCCAAAAAATAACTAGAACAAATCTGCAAGAGATGGAACTTGAGAACTGAAAAAAATGCCCACAAAGTCCCTTGCAATTTGTGTAGCTTGGCTCCCTCCTTAGCAAGGGTGTCAACTACGTTGTTGGCTTTTCCTATATGTCATTCCTACTTGGGTATGTGTTGCATGTTGGTGGTATAGGACCAAGTGACTAGGTACATTCCTATATGTCATTCCTACTTGGGTATGTGTTGCATGTTGGCAGTATAAGACCACGTGACTAGGTACACAATCTTTAAAAAAAATTCATTGTATTAAAACTCAAGGGTTTAAATACATGAATATCTCAATACAAAACCATAATCCAGCCTACAAGCTTGGTTTTATACACATTTGAATACTAAAAATTCAACCCTAATAGGACCCTTACAAATCCCTTACCCAAAAATACAATTAAACTCAATACAATGTCTAAATACTCACAATATACATCTAGACGACATATTACATGACTTGCACTTAAAATTCCTCATTATATAAAAATTACATGATAACTCCATCTTCATTCTTCATCCTCATCATATATCACAATGTCTCATACACGTCATACACTTGATCGTAATAATCAAATGAGATTTCAATTCACATAAACAAAAGAGCATAGCATTAAACCTCATACCTCAATATTAAAACACAATTCTATTTTTCACTTAACATACATAATTTTTTCAACCATGAATCATTTAATAACTGCAAATATAGTAAATAAACATGCATACAAACATGTGGGAAGCCATGGTTCGAACCCCTTGTGCCCGAACTACAAATTCGAGCCTTTTAGGGACTTAATTTTGTCCCAATGAATAATACAAGAGTGCTTTATAATCTCGAGAGTGTCTAATCCAATTGGAAGCTTTTACACTTTTAAAACAACTTCTTAGAGTCCACAAAATCGATTTAAAAAGGTTTGCAAGAAGAATCGAGCAAAACTACTTGTGGTGGTCCACCGGTGCACCACAACTTTTATGTAAACGTTCCTACTCTAAATGAGCAAATACACTTCTAAGAGGATCTAAATATCTCTGGAATTTGAATAACAAGACTTAGAAATGCTCAAGAGAATTCGTGCAAGGTAGATCAAAGGAAACTATGCATGATAAAAGGTTTGTCAATGCATAAAACACAAAAGCAAGTGAGGGATCACATTATGTAAGAATGGCATGAAGATAATATCAAAATGGAGGTCTAAAAAAGCTAAAACATGACTATAAATGAAATTTCTTGGAACCTTTGATCAAGGATAAAATGGTCTTTGACATAAAACAACTTAGAGAGATAATACCTTGATCATGGTATGAGATAAGCTTGATCTTATGGACTGAAGGACCATCAAGCTTCAAAGATCATCAATGGAGGATGAGAACTCTCAAAGGGAAATGGGTGGTACATGGAGGTCTCAAAGTTTGTTCTCTCTCTTTCTCTCTACTCAATTCAAGCAAGATCCATTTTTTTAAGTGGGTAGGGTTTGGAACTTAAAGAAATATATGTACATAGTGTGTAAGATTGGATATCATCAACACCCTTGATGCACCTATCCAAAGGCACATGAGAGACCAATATACCCTAGTCAACCATCCCCATCGGACCACTAGGATGAAGGGATGGAATTTAGCACCCTTATCACCCACATTAAACCCTAACTAAGGTCACTTTATCCTTTTGTTCTTAGGTCAATATTTTTATTCCAATTGAATCCAACTTGCTTTACATAAAAAGCCCTTAAATTTAAATAATCAAATAGTGCAGAGATCCATCAAGGGCAATAGGCAACAAAGGAAAAAGTAAAACTCACACATCTAGAATAATACACCTTTATGAAAGCCAGTTACCTTATAGATCTAATATTTCTAAGTAACCACAATGAGCTTAATATCCCCTTCACACGTGTGAAGATATATTTGAAATTCAAATTCAATTTTCAATTTTACTTTGGATTCATTATTTAAATTAAATTAAAATGAACCTCATACATGCCAACAAAAGCACTTGTGTGTATCAAATAAACATGTGACAAAAATGTACTTTAAGTTATAACATAATATAACAAGTCAAATAACAATATATAACAACATAACAAAATAATATATGTCATCCATATCCCCCACCTTGGGATTAGTGCCCAGCTGGGCATTGATCTTATGATGGGGCCAGGGGTGCCACATGGCCACCCTATGGCACTGGGGTGTGCCACGTAGCAGTCCTTAAATGGAATTAGTTCTAAACAAATATTAAAAGTACATTTTTGTCAATAAAAAATTTTCAAAAAATACTCCAAAATTCACAATAAATATTTATAATATTTATGAATATTTATTCATCATAATTAATTGGACAAAGGGTAAGTGAGATCTCATGGCCTCGACTCTAGGTGTCGGAGTACTCCATTGAGCTAGTCCCGAATGTTGTTCCGCCGGTGTCTCAAGCTGACCCAATGAACCTATGGTCCACAGTCTATGGCAGGGACGCATAATTAGTCACATCAAAGTCACTGAGCCAGAGCTTTTCATCATCCGGTTCTCAATGGATTTCAAGTGCATCCCTATGGGACATATTCCAACACAAGTACAAGGGTCCTCTCAAAGCACATGTGCATTGGCCCTTCCAAACTCAGATAATGGATTTGGAAGAGTGGATTCTCATGCGAACGTTAGTGCACATGCCATGGAATGGTCTTGTGTCTGGATACAGACTTATGTCCCATAAGCCATGACCATCCCATATAGGGCCGTTACTCATAAAAATACTCGGTTACTATTGTACTCGATTGGATACTCCAAGCCCTGGCTAATCACAACAATCATGAGGCTATTATAAACAAGGTCCTGACTAGGAGGTGACCCTCACACCTCCTTGAGAAATTGCTTTCCTGAACACAAAATACTTATAGCCTCAAGTACTTGGGGTATAAGAATTTGGGCCCCATTTCGCATAGCACCCAGATTCTATCTCTCGATCACTTCCACAGAATGAGAGACCTCTGGAATTTAGGCCTTGAAAGGCCAGATTTCCAACATTGCAAGCTGATCTCCCTACCATAATGTGATACAATTATATATTTACTTGGAAAGAAAGAAGAATATGTTGCCAGCTGCTCCCTGCATACATGTATCAAGTTAGATTGGGTTAGTGGTAGAAATATAGAAGCTGCAGAGATTTTGTATTGTTTCAGTATTATGTAATTTTCAACATTTCCTTTTGCACATATTTAGTTTCATTATATGATTTTGCTCTTGAACTAGTTCTCCTTCCCATATTTAATTTTCACATTTTTTGATATTTCAGAAATTGTGTGACTACACCTTTTTGGAAACATAGTTATGTTCATCCTTTGTTAAGTAGATTTATTTTAATTTTTGATTGTGTTGTTTTAAGGTGACGAATACACCTTGGGGTGAAAGAGTGTCCTTTGTATTCAATCCAGATTCAGATTCTGTGGCAAAGCCTTTACATGTTAGTCCCTTTATGGTAAGTTTTTATGAAATGCCTTTGTTTCTTGGAGATTTTATTATGGCCTATTAACAGTAGCTATTGGAAATTGTATGTTGTTTCTTGCATTATGCATTGCCATGTATCTTGTTAATTATTTATTAGCAGTGTGTCTTCTTTTGCGTATCAATACGTTTAGACTAGTGGTTTTGTAATATCTATCTTCCACATAGAGAAACAACGTAAGAAATATGCTTCTTAGGAATTTATTGGGTTTTAAAGAATTAACACTAATATCCCTTGAATTTATTGGGTGCATTTTTACGTTCATACCCCTTTTTCTATTTTTTATGGCTTCTCAAATTGTCTCTACTTCGGACCTTGAAGGTCTGAAGTTGAGTTTGAGGTTTCATACAACTTTGAACCTTCGAGGTCTAAAGTTGTCAACTTCGAACCTTCAAGATCCAAATTATGTTAGTGAGAAAAACCTCTCGGATGAGAGAAGTTGAGGTTTGTGACAACTTTGGACAAGGTCTAAAGCAGATGACTTTAGACCTTCAAGGTTTAAAGTTGTCCAAAACCTTAACTTGAGGTTGCCCCAAAAAAGGTGCGAAGTTGGGGTAATTTGTGTAAAAATAAAAAATAGAAAAAAGGGTAAGAGGATAATAACAAATTTATTTTCTCCCTATATTGGAATCGAGATTATCCCCTTACTAGAATTGCGAACCTATTCCTTCCGATATATGAGAGAAGTATTCAGAAAATATATAAATTTACCTATTACTACAAGATTGAATTTTGGTATGTAAATACTCAGTCCAGGACTCCAAGTACTAATGTCACTTTTTATGATATCTTTGTGGACAATCCCATACAATGAACTTGGTCTACTGATAACCCTATTATGCTTACAAGGTCTAGAGCTAGTCTACGACATACAAGGAGTGAGAACAAGGGCAAGCTCCCTTTATCTCCTTTCTTTGAATTATAAAATAAGTACATAAAATTACACCTACAAGCTCCCTTTAGCTCCCTTTACCAACAAGGGCAAGCTCCCTTTATCCACATAAAATTCTCTTAATTTTATTTGATTCTCGTCCAATAAGACTGTCTTGGGATTCTTTACCATATTATTTACTAGATTTAATTACAAAAAAATGCCTCTAGATTTGATTCTGAATGGATGCCTTAGGTTTTTGAAGAAGAAAATACTACAGTGGACCTGAAATGTCCACTTACATGAATCAAAATTCAAAACTTCGATTGGTAGGAGTTTGGTATTGAGGAAGGTTATTTGATTAATGCAATAGATCAATTTTGCCATGTGTCCAGAAGGGTGAAAAGGTTTAAAGCCAACCTCATTTCTTTGTTTCAAAAGTAGGAAGATCTGACAAATGCTTGGGACTCTTGAAAAACAAGTTTTGATGGTTGCCTCTTCTTGATTCTTGAAAGTTGTCCCTTACCTTTTCTTTTTTTTCTTTTGTTTTAGGGAAACTGTTGTTTTCACTTCTAGCAAGGCTTTATGGAGGGGCTGGTAGGCCTTGGATGTTGTGTGGGTGGCCTATTGCACTTAGTTCTTGTAATCCTAGCTATAGCTATAAGGGTAGCGATTTCATTTTGGAATCTCGATTCGGCGTTTCCGTAGGCGAAAGTTGATTCTAAAAGAAAAGAGTCACATTTCTATTTTTTGCGGAACGCGATTCCACCTAGTTTAGGAATCTCAATTCCTGGATTGCCAGAATCAAGATTCCATATCGAGGACTTTAGATTTTTAGCTACACAAGAATGCGATTCTACTTGTGAGAAACATTGATTCCAATTTTTTTGGAATTGCGAATCCATGTTGTTTGGAATCAAGTTTCTTTATCGCAAACATCGTGATTCCTTGCTACACAATAATGCGATTCTACTTGTGCTAAATGTTGATTCAAAGCAGTGTTTCAAAAAGCGCTAGGCGAGTCCTAGGCAAATTGGGGGGTCCAGGACACCCAGTGCCTAGGCGGGCGCCCAGAACCTGGGCGGCTCAGTTGAATCCAAATAAGGATTTTGCAGTCCAGTTGAATCCAAATAAGGATTCTGCAGTTATTTGAGTATCAGACTATCTGTTATATTCAAATTATGCTACATATTAGCATTTAGCACACATTCCATAAGCATAACCATAATCCATAATCCATAAGTCGGTTCATAGTCCATAATCCATATCCAATTAAAACTTAAAATATGTCAACCAACCAAATTATAAAACTATGAAAGTAATACTTGAAGACTCAAAAGAATCTTCAATAGTTCAAATGTTCAATACACAATTCAATCAAAGTTCAAACTTCAAACTTCGAAGTAACAAAGTTTAATAATTATTCAACAATCAACATTCATTCATTATCAGAAAATCTTGGGTCAGCTGCATTGGCATCATATTCATCGGAGTGGACGGAGTTGTCACCCTCCTCGACATATTGCGACTCGTCTTCCTCCGTCTCTTGTGATTCTGTCTGTTCTTCCTCCTCATCCTCCACCCTTGTTCTCTGTACATAAGCTCTAGTGGCTCTAGGAGGGATCAGCTGATGTCCTTGAAGCATCTATGACCATGTCCCATGTCAATCCTTATGCCTCTCGACCTCATCATCATCAACTAACCACTCCATAGTATTGTCCATATTTTTTGATCTGATGGGGTCTCTATTATCTCTCTTAGTAAATCTGTCATTCAAGAATCGATTGTGCTTGACATCGACAAGGTCATTGAGCTTCTTTAATTCAAGCATGTTTTTTTTCTTTATATGAACCTAACAAAATAAAATGAAAGTGAACTAATTAAAACCTAATATCTATGGTTCATGTATTATTTATACAATGATACAAATTACCCTAATGGCCTTACCCCTTCAAAAGTACTCCAATTGCGCTCACAACTGGATGAAGAAGTGGTTGGGTTTAAGATCCGAATGGCCAACTTTTGTAAATTTGGAGAACTACGCTCATGTTGGCTCCACCAATGGGCTACAAAGAAATAAAAAAAATCATAAATGAATAATAGAAATACTTGATTACTTGAACAATTGAACTTGATGAAGATGAACTTAAGAATATTATTAATATAATAATACTTAATAGCTGGATTAATTTTGGTCCTTTGCCTCATTGCCATTGGACTCCCAAAAGACGTTAATGAGCACTTGTAATTTATCAGCTCATCAGCGCATATAATGTCCTGCATTTCAAGATCAGGGACTAGCACCTTTACACACTTATTAAATCCATCCATAATTGTATCATTTTGTTTATATAAATAAAGCTGGGTTCAAAAAATAACCAGCTACATGCAATGGCCGATGTAGCTGCTTATCCCACTTATCATCAATAATCTCCCAAACAGGCTTGTAGCGGGTTTCTTCATCATTGAAATTTTGGGCTATCTCTCTTTTGCATTTCTCCATAGCATCATATAAATAGCCTATAGAAGGCTTGTCACTATCAACCATGCGAAGAACTTTGATAAGAGGAAAAAATACCTTAAGAGCGCCCTTCACCCCTTACCAAAAAGCCTTGAAAAGTATAATATCTCTCACTTTCTTCCCAACCTGAGCCTTAGACCACTTGCATGCTCTCCATTCATTCGAGGTAAACATTTGGCTCAACTACACTCTCCTCGAATGTATGCTATCTAGGCATAAGTATCAAGTCGCAAATCTCGTGTCGCAAATCTCGTGACCCCAAGCCTCTCAATCTCTTTCTTCTTTGTAAAGGTACGCATCACGCTGAGGGTGATATGGTGGCTATAAATAAAATTCGTAACATACTTGGCCTTCTTCACTGCACCTGATATCTATGTTAAACCGCCAAGAGACTCAAGCATGAGGTCTATAAAATATGCTACACATGGTGTCCAAAAGATTTTAGGATAAGCCATGTGCAACAAATTAGATGCCGCAACATAGCAGCATTGTCTGTCACAATCTGTACAACAAGATGCTCCCCAACCTCCTTGATTCCGTTCTCTATCACTTGAAATATGTAAGGGGCATCATGGATATCATCAGAGGCATCAATAGATCACAAGCAAATTCATTTGACTTCTTCTCTTCCTATCACTCCAAGCATCAGTCATAAGAGAAACCCCATACTGAGCCCATGCATCTTTCTTAAGTTCTACAACTTCCTTCGAGGCATTCACTGTCTTTTTTAAAAAAGGCTCTGAAAGCTCATATGGGGTTGGGGGTTTCATCCCAGGGCCAAATTGGCCAATTGCCTCTACTGCAGCATAAAAGCTACTCAAGCGAGCGGTATTGAAAGGAATGCCCGCCTCATAAAACCATGTAGCCAAATAATACACAGCTCTATCTCTCTCTTCCTTGATTCTATTTTTTATGGTGGTTTGTTTTTTTGTTCTCTCCTGCAATCTCAGGGTCAGGCCGAGGTAAGAAACTATCCATAGGGCCTCTAACCCGAGGCTTTTTACTCCCAGAACCAGAAGCAATTACAACTCCCTTCCCCTTTCCCCTAATAATGGATTGCTCAACCTCTTGACATTCCTCCCCAATCCTTTCCTCATCACTATCATCATCATCAAAATTGACTCGAACCCAGACCTAATCTCTGCTATAGAGGCAAATCTCTCATCTTTTTTCATTTTCACCAAGGTCATAAAATTCTGTATTTCCTCTTTAACAGCATCAAGAGTGTTTTTACATGGGGCAACATCCCCCTTGATATCGGCAAGATGTTTCTTGAACCGGTTTATGCCCCCTTTTGTATCATTTTCACAAAAATTGCATCTTATGCAATTTTTATCATTAGGATCTGGGTTATAACCGTATTTCCAACCGGGATCACCACTCCTATTAGATCCCGAAGAAGACATCTAAAAAATAATGCAAATTACTAAAGGCTAAAGTAATAAAAAAAATCACTTACTTTGAGTAACCGAGTTTGATTGCTCAATCTTCAAACTTTCACCTCAAAGATGTTTCTAAATGCTCAAAATCTTCTAAAATACCCCCCTAATAACTTTGCAAAACATCAAAAAGTAAATATAG